TTTATTTCATTCTAGCTGCCTTTGTTCCTTTGTTGTTCTAAAGTGGATAATACCTGTTTTGGCTGGAGAATGTATTTTTCGATACTGCACGTTGTGCATGGATGTCCTCAGCAGTGTTCTTCAATGGTCAAGCGATATCTAAAGGTTACATTCTCATCTATGTTGGAATGAAAATGACTAGTCATGTGTGTAGTGTTAGTGGAACATTTCTTGCAAACCTAGAAATGCTGAATTTAGTTAGCTTGAAACAAGATCTTGAAAGAGAAAATTCAGTAAATGCAACAGGCCATCATTCCATAAAAGCAAGTACACACACCATGTTTTTATTAAGCTCTGCATTTTATTTTACTCGGTGTCCAGTCCCTTTATTCCATTCAACATCATGACTAAGTTATTCAGAGATCTAGCATTACTTCATTATCAGTATCTCAACCGAATTTCCTCTTATTAAGCGGACTTATTCCATTGTTCGGAGGTTAATTCAGCTATTCCTGATAAATTTCAAAATATTCAGAAATTCGAGCGCTTTCGAATAGTTGACTACTACTTTTCTTAGGAGTGAAAAGAAGAAGGATGGCCAACTATTCAAAAGCCCTTGAATTTTTGAATCTTGTGAAATTTATTTGATTTATTTTTTGGATCATTTGTGTAATTATTTCATTATGGTACAGTTTTACCTGGATATACCACATGGTTACTAGCAAATGAGCCAGAAATTGAAACTAAAATCTTGAGCTTGTCTTGTAAATGTTTAGTTTATATATTATATTATATTATATTATATGATGATATCATAGAGATTTTATTGTTTAATATTGACTATGCATTTTGGAAAACTGAATTTATTATAAAAATGTAAACAATGTCATATTCCAGCTGCCTCAGTTTTGAAAAATAGCTGTACCCCATCTCAGGATGAACGGTCTACAGATGCTGACCATTTTCCAACTGTCTGTTACCAACGGAACACCTATATCAATTACCTGATCTAAGATCTAAAGAATTAAAGTTGCTTTTTCGTACCAAAACTTATTTTTCTGTGAAAATCAAGGTTACTCTTACGTTCGTAAGTAACGCGATCAGTGACTTTCAGGCATACTATATGCGTAGTTATCCCTTTCTGTTTTCACCACCTAGGTGTCTAATCAGTGCTAACGTTTTATGGGCTTGCGTTAACTTTATTTTAGTTCCGCTGACTAACGCAAATTGGCTGTAACGTAACAAGGAGAAGAAAAAAAGATTGCAGAAAGGAATCACAACAAATAACAACAGTTTATATACAACGATACTTAAAGGTTCTTTCAACCACCGCACTGCATTCTTTTGTCAAGTAAACAGCTAAGAATATCCTTTTAAAAATACACTTCCAAGTGTTAAGCACGCATTAGCTTAAACTCCTCATGGATTATTTAACTTAAGCAGTTTATAATTGGAAAAGATTCTGAGGTAATAAAAAATCAATCGCCAAAGTAATACGTTTCACTCGCTTTTAAAAATGTATTTTTACATGTAGGTTCTCTGGTAAATTGTGTTTAATGAAACGTTATGTGGATGATGTTGCAAGGTTAAAGCCAATTACACATTTCGCAGACATTTCACTAAAAGGTATAATCTGTTGTAGAATTCAGAAGGCTGGTTAAATTTATCTCGTCATGACGTCTGTACAATCTCTCCTGGTGTTGGCGTTTGTCTTTTGACGTCATGGAATCGCTCACGCTTTTGCTATTGATAGACTTACTAATTGTAGCCTCTTACTTACCATTCATCTGGCATACAAAAACTGTCAACAAGGTCTACTCCACACTAATACCAAATAATGACATTTATTTAAATCACGAGGCACTAGTAAAGTTAGAAAATACACAAATCGTTCTTTGCTTTTGTTGGCTGCAGAAGATTCTTTCCGTTGCTAAATTTCACCATTGTTCAGAACAGTGGCAAACACAGCATGTCACGGACTCCATTGCAAAAAAAAAAGTAATTTTGGTCCCGTTTTCTGCTCTTTATATATATACATTTAACACTGGACGTGTTTGTTTGTAATTAAGCACAAAGCTACACAATGGGCTATTTGCGCTTTGCCCACCACGGGTATCGAAACCCGAATTCTAGCGTTGTAAGTCCGCAGACATCCCGCTGTGCCACTGGGGGAGGGCTTAACTTTAGACCAATCACTTAAGTTAGAATTGTGGCTGTGGTTTAACGAAGGTGTACATACGGCACTCACTAAATCATGTATACATGTAGATGCAGCCATGTGATGAGCCAAATCTTACTTCTGGGCCCTTTTGATTCCCATAGAAATGCTATGGCTGTGGCGGTGGTATTTTACGCCACTGGTTCAGATGATAAAGCAAAAATAAAATAACAGTGACTTATTGTGAATATGAGATATCAGCATTAAGTTAAGTAATTATGAAAAATAAGTTAACTAGATACGATCATAAAAGTATCTTTACGTTATTGCAATTGATTATGTATAATAAAATAATTAGAATTATTTATTATCATAATTAAAGCAGAAAAGCGTCAAACGTGCTTTTATACCTTTAAAAAAAAAGACAAATGTTTCTCTAACAAAAATTGAGATAAAACATCAGATTTGTACATTCAGCCATTATGTATGTTCAAAGCTCTAGCTTACTTATTCGCTGAATAATTATCACAAACGTTTTGTTTGTTTCGTTGTTGTTAAATACAAAGCTGCACAATAGGTTCTCTGTGTAGTGCCAACCACGAGTATCGAAACCCGAGTTTTAGCGTTACAAACCCTGATACTTACCATTGAGCCACTGCAAAACTTATCACAAAGGACATCGGTTTACTATACTTTTAAAAAATGCGATATCTTAGACATGTTAACACCTTGAATTATATATTTAAAACAAGGACTCCCCTTTTTAGTCTCTGCTTATTATTAACTTAAGAAATGCATCATTAAACTTCATATATCTTGGTTCTCTATCATATTATCAACCCCATATTTTACGAAGCATTATAGTTACAATTATAATTTTTCAAAATATTTCACTTATTCTAATAAACTAGTCTTTACATCAAATGAATCAAAGTGGATTTTGTCGCAGCGATTATCGTAGCCAACGAACTCTCAACACATCCACGAGACTTCATCCAGTGCAGTTGTAATACAAACCATTTGACTTATATGGTGGGAGCTCATTACTGTTACTTGTTTGTGTAATTCTATCAATGCATTGGGTAAGACCTTTTACGAATTGGCATGTACACCAATGAACTCGTTTTTATAAACACCAAAAGAGCATTTCAATGTATGAAAAACTTTTATATTTACCTAAAATATTTTAAAACTGAAAATTAAATTATTGTCTTTAATATCAATACATTATAATACCATATGTGAATGCTTGTTTGCACTTTTACTGTTATTATTATTATACAATAAATGCAATATTTTCATTCTAAGTAATACCAATAAAAATAACACTTACACGGCACAGGTATTTCATTTCACAGATGCAGTATCACTTGTTTAGATTTACGAAGTTAATTATTGATGCAGTTATTTGATTAGCTGGGAATTTAAAAAATATCAGTAATATCATGACTAGTTCTTATAATTGTTTATTATGCAACGACGGAGTTATACAATCTTCCTATCTATACATATATATATATATATAGAAGTTATACAATCTTCCTATCTATACATATATATTTATTTATTTAACCTTTAAACTTAAAATTGTACAATTATAATAGTTACAGGTCATGGGAAATAAAGTAAAATACACGCGCATGTAAGTACAATTTTATTATAGAGATGTGTTGAAGATAGAATAAAAACATTACGAAATATCCTCCTTGTGGTCGCGCCATTTGAAATTTTTGTGCTGAAGCGTCTGAAAAAATAAGTATTTTTATCTATTGTAATCATTCTTTCATAGTATATTTGAATTATTGTTATCAGGGGGTCTGATATTTTCAGCTGAGGCTGAAAATGAGTAGCTCATCGTAGACACCCCCTTATTTCGAACATTTTGCATACAAAAGCATTAACTTACAAACTTTTCTGATGCAAAAATTCACAGCTATACACAAACTAAAATGCACCTCAGATATTGGGTTTTGTTATATTTTTAAATGCACTTCATATTGTTTCTACATTCATTGTGACATGGAATAGAAGAGATTGGTAAGTAATTTTATTTAAAATAACAATCGATTTGCAACGAGTGTTAAGTGTTGATCACCATAATTAACATAGTTTTCCATTACTTATTGGAAAACATTGCCTGGCGAAACATATCCCCTCCCCCTTGAATATTCCCCTGGTAGTGGCGATAATATTACCGACACAGTAATCGTAAACTGTCATCCTCAATGAGTTACTATAAGATAAAATAACTGTTTCTCAAACGAAAACCCACATTTAGTCCAGAGGGGGTAAACTCGTTAAAAATATTTATAAAAGTAACTTATCATTTTAAGTATAAAAATGTTCACGGTAGGACACTTTTAATTTTATTCGAAAACTCGCCTTGTTTCAGCGATAAACATGTATTAAAAATAAAGAAATAACTCGTATAATTCTAAGATGTTTTAGTTGCGAGAAATTACAGTCGTAAATGTTATAAAATAAACGTTAACAGTACGTGCCCACGACTTGCGATGGTTATGGCTACGGCATATAGATTGAAGGCGTGATAATAGTGCTCTTTCCATTTATGTTTGCGTCAGATCGTCTCTAAAGGTTGTTCCATTGAAGGCTTTCTCTAGCATAGAAAAATGTCAACATAAACTACACCCTCACGCTTGCTGTGTATCTTCTTATGCGCTATAAGAAGTAGTTCGTACGAACAATCGAGTGATTATCACCCATATATAATTCTTGTTGTTATTTTACTGTTTTATTGCATAATAATTTAAACATGTATTAGCTTATCTTACTGGTACCTGGTGAATAAACCTAATGTCAAGTAAGATTATAGAGATTTAATAAGAATTAGTGTACTGACACCACGTGTTAGCGAATTCTTGTAAACATGGCGTCGGGGATACCCTCCTCAACACACTTGCCATTTGGCAGGGTATTCTCTGACGTCATTGCTCAAGGTTGTAGCCTAGTGCAAGTTATACCGGTACATGGTGGACGGCCCGCCACTATTTTGATAGTCCGAGAATGACCACGTAAGCTTGTTGAAGCCATAAAACAAGATTGTTCTAGTGTACGACAGTATTTGGGATTGACATTTGTGGACGTAGATTTTGTAAGAACTACGTTTAAAGATGCCAAAAGGGCCAGTAAAGGTGCGTCATCAGCACTGTTGGGGGATTCCCTAGTATTTGTGAGCCTGAGGTTAGGGAAGACGTTGTCTCCCACCAGGGCCTTGCCATGCCACGTCGAAAACAAAGTCAAGCAAACGAGAGTAAGTCCCATTGCTTAATGACTTTTTCAGTTTCTCTGTATCATACAAGTATTATATTTTAGAATTACAACTTCACAAACAATATTACTGATATTTTAATTTAACCTATTATTAGTTAGTCCTATCTTTTTTTTTATTGGCGATAAGAGTTCAGAATATGAAACAACTTGGCAAGAAGGGGAGGGGTTGACCTGGAGTTTGAACGTTACGTACTATGAATGATTCTGAAGTCGTAAGCCTAAGTTGCGTTTGAAAAGCTAAGTAGGGTACGATAAAATGTAAGGTTGTTTACCCTTGAAGTAGGCTAGTACTCACTAAGAAAAGTTGATGTTTATTTGATATGCATTCGAACATGTTCTTGTCAGTGTGAGCTTATCCGTAATCAGAAAAAGGTAATAATTTTTACCAAATTATCTATTTAATTTGGTAACCATCATTTTATAAAAATATTAGCGACAATCAGTTTTTAATTTCTGTAAGTTGTGTAACATTACGTAAATTTGCGGAAGTGCCATTGCCAGCAAATTTTTCTAATTTGAAAATAAACTCTGACTACAAATCTGTCATTAACGTTTTTATATAAACATGCCACAACAAAGAAGACTTTAAAACCTTTCTTTATTACTCAAGTTTTTAAAATGGTATCATTTCTGCACTCTTTTTCTTTTCCAGTAGACCCAAGCTGTATATAGTACTATAATGAAGTCTTAACCAGAATCTTCTACAAGCTTGCAGTAGTCTTCTTACTTTTACGTTTAAAATTTATACCTGTTATCAGTACATTTAAGTAACCAGTTAAAGGATTCATGCATATATCAGTAAACATGGTTAAATCCTTTTTATCTCCATACAATTAGTGTTCCTCCTAGTACAATAAGTCTTTCCAACTTTTAAAGCCAAAGGTACATCACTTTACATTTCTCAGTTTTGAAAATCATTTTATAAGTTCATATTCCCTCACTAAGGTTGCTCTGATCTGCCTGAATTGGAAAAAAAAATTCCAACAGTAACCCCTTTCCTATCACCTTAGTATAATCATTGAGATTGGAAATATTACCTATGTTGCCAAAGTAGTTGTTTAAACTATTGATATGAATAACTTACAATGAGCTCCTAAGATAGATCTTTCATCAGCCACATTTGCTTGCAATCAAAGAAATGTCAGTTTAACAGTACAATTTGTTTTTATCACCATACTAGTTTGCACCCAGTTTTAACTTTTTCAGAAATTCTACAAGAGTCCAATTTACTAATGAACCTGTGATGAACATTATAAAAAGTTTTCCAGAAAGTCAAGAGAAACAAATTTTACCAGAATGATTTAATCCACAATAGCAAAATCAATGTAAGAAGATTCAAGTTGATAAAGAAGAAAAACTTCTTTCAACAAGTTTATTGAGTATCATTAATTAAAATGATTAGTCTTCTCCAACTTCAAATAAATTGATCAGCTGAGATTTTGTTTTTTACCTTCCATAAAGGTATAAATAAAGGGTATGTAAAACTTTAGCCACATGCAGCTTCCTCTTCATGGTTCAATAATGCCCTTAAGTATTTTATTTTTGCTGTTTGTGTTACTTTAAAAAATATATTGTGTTAGATTTTACATAAGAACTGATGTGTTCCCATTAATTCTTGTTTTGTTTTTTTCATATTTAATGAAATTTTCATTGTGTTTAATTTTGGAGCTGAAAAGCACTAGTTAGCCCTCTAATCTGTAAAAAGTTCTTTATTATTTACCATATTAAGCTTGGAAAGAATTGTATTATTTTCTTTGAGACTTGAACCTAAAGCTTTTGAGCTACAATATTTAAACCAGTACTCTACCAGTTAAACATTTAGGGAATCATTTTACTTGCAGATTATACTATAATTTATCTAGTACAATGTGTTTCTGACAGGTATTTTGAAATATAAGTTAAAAATTATTTTTATCCCTCATGATTTATGTAAGAGATATACAAACAAGGTTTTTTAGTTTCTTTCATATGCTTATTTTTAATTATTTCAGGTGCCAGTGAAGCTGATGAACACGAAACACCCTCAAAACTTACTTGTAGGCCTCATCAGGTAGTAGAACATTGTTCTAAACTGTCATTGAGTAATAATACTCTCTGTACAACAGCGCACTCAAAGTGTGAAACCAGTCAAAGGTCTTCATGTACTGTTGAAGGAAAAAAATCGAGCATCTTACCTTCTCTCAAATGCTCGTTTGTGCAGGAAACTGGCAGCAAATTGATACCTAAAGATAATGAGAATAAAGTGGTTATTGAGCCAGCAAAATGTGCTATTGTAGTAGAAGTTTCCAAGAGTGAAGTGGTCATTGATAGCAAACAACATAGAACATTGTTGACAAATACATCTAATGAGAGTTTTTCTTGTGCTTCATCAACTCTGAATCACAAGCAGAACCAAAAAAACATATGTTCATGTAGGAATCTTCTACAGAATGGTGAATCTACAAATATTAACCTTTTTAAAACATGGAATACAGAAGATGGTGGTAATTTAAAAGAAATATTGACACAGAGTAATGATGATAAAGGTTCATCAGTGGAACATTCAAATAGACACACACTGGTCTACAAACAGTGTGGGGTGCAGGAATGTAATACTGGCTTGTGTGTTATGTCAGAAGATAAAAACTCCTGTAGTACAAACAGTAATTTGCATAAAACACCCATTCATGTCTCTGGAGAGGGGGCAGAAATTACAGATACAAATTTTCTCTTAAGCCAAGCTAGAAATTCTTTAGTGAATGCTGAATTGCCTATCACTGTAGGTGAGGTACTGCCCAGCACTTTTTCAGTGAGTCATTGTAGGAGTTGCACTTCCCCAGAAGTTAATGACAGAGGTAAAGAAAATAAGTCTACAAACAACACACTAGGGCAGGTATTTGCTGTAACTGTGGGTGACCTAACAAATCAAGAAATTATGACCACTGTTACTGAAAGGATGTCAGGCAATGTTTTACATTCAAGCTTGGATCATAGTTTGGTAGTAACAACAACTTCATCATTACCTCGCATGACAAGTAAATTGTCTAAAATCACAGTAATAAATTTGAATACTGCACAAGATGCAACAGAGAACTCTACATTTATGTCTACCATATGTGACCAAATAGAAAAATCCACTAATTCTGAGATTTGTTCACAAAAGATCATAAGTAGTCTTCTAATGCCAAGTTCAATATATGGCCCACCAGTGGAATCTCCCAATGTTGAGTCTGTTCTCCATGGTTTAAGAGTCAGTTCAATATCTTCTGAAATTAAACCTGTCACTGAAGTTTCTTCTCTAAAGTTGGAGACAGAAACATCTAAAAGTTCAAATATGTCTTATCTCAAAGAAGAAAATAGAGATGAAAAACCAGAAAATCAAAATGTAAATATAACAAGCAATAGCACTAGTGATGAACTTGTTTGTTTTAAAAAAGAGATAACTTACCATTAAGTAAAAAACTAAGGCTGAAGATACCAGATACAAAAATAGGCGAACTTAGTTCCCTGTCAGAAGGGGGCGTTGCAAGTCAAAACCTAGGAACATCTCAATCTATTAAGTCAGTTAAATCTCCTGTTGTAACAAGTCCTCAGATTCTAGAGGAAAGAATTAGCAAGCTTATATCTGAAAATGCTGCTATTGTGGAAACACTAGATCCCCTGTGGTCATGGCGATATACTCGCCAATCCAGCATCTCTTCTAGCCAAAATATTGAATCAGAATTAAAGAAAGGTAAAACTTCTGTACGAATGAGACGATACAGTGAAGACTCAAGTCTAGCAAAGAAGGTTAATACCAGTACTAATGTTAGTCAGTGCTTTGGCTCTAAACTTCAGGTTGCTTTAATAGGTAATAGTGTAACAGAAAGTTGTGAAATCAATGAGAGAGTAATTGGCTCTTCAGCAGAACTCTCTCCTTTACATATTAATGGTGAAAGGATGTCGATTTTAGAAAAAGTTAATATCAAAGAAGATAGTTTTCATGGACATCCAAAAAATCCAGAAAGAAGCATCATTAAAGATTTACTACTTAAGGACAGAAGTAAGGGAGAAAAAAGCTTGTTGGATTCAGCAGCATTGAAAAATCCATTAGCCATTGAAACAGTTACAAAGTCCCCTCAGGTTTCTTTTTTATGCAGACTGTGTAATATAGTATTTCGTTGTAGAGAAAATTACATTGCTCATCGACAGCATTACTGTAAAGATAGCCAGGAGTACACCTGTAAGTCTGAAGAAAGCTTACATTATTTGAAAGGAGATATTTCATCAAGTGGATATGTAATGACTTTACCTATTTCATCTTCATCAGCTGCTTCTGCATCACAGTCATCTAAGTCAAATACATCAGTATATTCTTTGTTTCAACATGGACAGGTATTACCTTCTAATAGTGAAGCTCATATTCAAATGTCTTACCATGGATTAACTAATAAATCTCATATTTTTCAAAAATCTACAATCAGTCCTTCTCCTGAAAATCCTCCTCTGAAGAAGAGGAAAATATCTGAGCCAGTAATTCCAGTAAATGGACCTGAAGAAGTAGTTAAAAACAAGTCACTCAGTAATTTGTCAAACTGTCCCCAAACCAATCAACAATCAATGTTAGTGGTCACATCTGCTTCTACTAAACCAAGTGATGTTCAGATGAAGGACTTGAGAGAAAATACACAAGTATGTGAAAAAATGCTAGTCCATCCTATGCAAGTAAACACAGGGCTATCTGTTATTCAAGAAATACCAAAAGTTAAGCAAGTAGAATCTGGATTAAAAGATCATTCCATGCTAGCTAGAGAAAACATAAGTACATCAGTTGTTGATATCATATCAAAACCAGTTTTAAATTCTGGTGGGACTGTTCTTTCTGTTCAAAATTCTCTGCAGGATGAAGTGAACTCAGAAATTTGTTTACAAGCTAACCACACAACTGAGTCAGGTTCTGTAGATTTTGCTCTAAGTAATTCAAAAAGGGTTGCATATAGAGAGCTCAAAGTGGATGAACCAAAGGATGCTGAAATTGTTCAGGATTTGTCTCTTAGTAAACTAATTAACAAAAAATCATGTTTTAATACAGGAGTTTCTGTACCAACCACCCTAACTACTATTAATCAAGAGTCAGTTGCTCAGAGCTTGGTCTCAGTTCAAAGAAAAACAAGTATCTATTCTGTCATCCCAGACTATAGGGTTATGCAGGGAAGACCTGATACTGTTGTGCCTATGGATCTGCTAGAAGAAACAGACAATATTTGTTCTGATCCATCTACACACATGCAGGCAAGTTTCAATAAACCACAGTCAATTCCTGAAAGACCAGTTTTGTCTCCTTCTTTACCATTCTTTCCATCTTCTGTAATGCATTTAGTCTTGGAAAATAGTGCTCAACCACCACTTCAGCAAACAGTCAACTCCACCTTGAGCTTCAATTTGGCCTCCAAATCTCCACCTGATATCCCTACATCAGACAAACCACTGCCAGTACCTAGTTCTACAAAAAGAATCATTGCAAGTGACAGTTTTCAGATTGAAAAAACTAATGTGGAAACAAGTAAGACTAAACCCACTAGACCATCTTCTTTACCTTTGAAGAAAAAGGTTATTACCATGATAGGTTCCACACTAATCAGTCCTGAAACACCTCGCCCAAAAAAACACTGCATTCAGCAGTACATCAATGGACACTCGTACACTTATCTAGGGCTTAAATGTTCAACTAGGTCAACCTATTGCAGTATATACAGGCCCCAACCTATGTATGTTCCTCAAGATACTGATCCCAAATTATCTATGTATTCAAATTGGCAAGTTGTCCCTGCGAAAAATATGTTGCTTGGATTGTCTCCAGGACAAATGGTTGGACTTTATGATTCCAGACAGTGGCTTCATTGTTGTTCAGGAATCTTTGCATTAGCAAAACAATCACCACAACTGCTTATTACACACTCTAGTTATTGGATATATCGATGCCAAGAACTAGAGAGGTCATCTAAATCTAATCATCTTTTTAGTAGTCCAAGTGAAAATAAATTCCAGATGTACAAAAGTAAAACAGAACAATGTACTTCAAATTCTGTAGAAATAGTTAATCCAGGGGAAAACAAGGAAAAAACAAGTTTCAATTCTCTGGAATCAGTCCCTAGTAGTGGACTTTATAGTTGTAACCAGCAACACCTGATGGTGTCCACCCCTGATGAAGGTCAACACTTTGTTAAAGCCAAGTATCAGGATGAACAGCTAAACATTTCCAAGCCTTTGGAACTGACTATTCCTAATGGAAGCAAACAATCCATAGACATACTGGAGCAGAATCATAGTTTATCTACACCAGATAATTTGTTGGTCTCTCCTAGCTCTAATTATTCCCAATTTAAAGATCAGCAATTGCATTTACCTAAATCTCAACAGTGGCTGACAAATTCTGGAAACACTAAACAATCATTTACCATTGAGATTGAAAAACAACAGCAGTGCTCCAGCAAGTTCACAAAATCTTTGATCAGTTCAATCAAAGAGCATCCATTCAGCAGTAATGCTGAAGAACAACAGCAAAATCAAGCTGTGTGTCAGGAAAGCCCAGTAATTCCGTGTGCAAGCAAGCAAGCCTTGAACTTGTATTGCAGAAATGAAGAATTAAACTTGGCAAATATTCAGCAACAATTGTTTACTTCTCCAAAAATTCAGTATTCTATTATTACACAGGATCAGGAAGAACAACAGAATGTAACTAAGCCTGTTGAAACAATGATCAGCCCAAAGAGAATAAATCCTACCTTCTTCTACCAGAATCAAGATGAACAGATGAACTCCTCCATGGCAGTGGGTTATCCTGAGAGAAATAAGCACTTGGAACCTGTGACCAGTCCCAATATAGATATGCAGGTATCAAATAACCAGGTTAGTAAAATAACTAATTGCTGTACAGCATAATACTTGTAGAGTTGTAAAACGTCACACAAATAAAATATTTAAGATTTGGAATGCCTGCTTTATAATTCTTAAATCTAAAAGGTTTGTTCACTGCCTTATTAAATGGAATGTAGACATTCTTATGAAAAAAATGACCACTTATAATCTAGGTTTCTGGCTTTCTGAATGGCACATTAACAGGTAAGACTTACTGAAAATAATTTATTGTTTGGCTTACATTTCCATATTTTTTATTATTATTTAGATTTTTTCTGATAAGAATAAGGTAGTGGTGTTTAATTTTTAAAAAAAGTTGCAGGGAGAGAGAAAAATAGTTAACTAAAGCTTTCACAATGAAGTAGTTATTAGATAAGTATCACATGCAATGTATTTCACAATTCTTCATATTTTCTATACATTGTACATGGGGAGAGGATACTGGTGGTTGAGGAGTGTCATTGATGGGTCAGCTTATATTGGTGGTACTTTTCAACACATCACTTTGGCCATGAATTTCTGTAGATGAGTGGCCTTGGGGTGGCTCCCCCAGGGTTAATTGACTGGTCCTGTTGGGCTATGGTTAACTAAGTTCCAGTGTTGGACATTCTAAATGGGTGTTGTGACATTGATGCTGGTGTTTGGGTATAGTGTTCACGAAACCCTGGCATCTCTACAATGATCTACTTTAGCATTGTAGTGCATCCTCTTGTAGGAGTCCATGATGGGTGGGGTCAGTGGGCACTGAAATTTCTCCATTTTTATGTATCCTGCACCCAGAAAAACAAACAAACAAAAAAACTTGTTTATAGGAAAGTGACTACATTTGGAAGACTGAGAAGCAGTCACCATCCCATTCTGTTCCTGTACCTCATTGTTTGTTCCTTGACTGACAAACCTTTAGGGCAAATGTCTCCCTTTTTTATTCAGTGTGGATTAGGGGGGCTTGCTGGCTCTCCAAAATCTGTTAAGAAGCTACATTCTTGGGACATCTTGGTGGAAACATCTACTTCAAAACACATCAAACTTCTCCTGAAATCAAAGTCCATTGGGGATATACCTATGGAGGTTACTCCCCTCGCTACTTTGAATTCCTCATGAGGAGTTATCATTGAGAGGGATTTAATAAACATTCTCGCTGGTTTCTCTAGCCAGTGGAATTATGCTGCTTACCAATGTTCTTGTAATGACGTTTACATCATCACATTTTCCTGCCACTGTCAAGGCAGGTTATCTGAACTGTAAGATGTGGCTTTATATTCCTAACCCTCTCGGATGTTTCCAGTATGTTTATTTGATGTGTGCTCATTGTGGTGACAAAGACCATGACACCTATGAGTATCAACTGGACCCTCACTGTATCAGTTATGGTGGTTCCCACCCCTCTTACTTTCGATCTTGCCTAAGTGGGTGGAGGAGAAAGAGGTACAATGTTTATGTACTGTAAACAAAATTTTTTAACCTGAGGCTCAGAAGTTGTTGTCCCCTGTTCCATCTTGTACATATGCTGCTGCACTCTGTTCTACTGCTACAATGGGAGTGCAAGCAGATATTTTTGTGCCTCCATCAGTCTTTCTTACACCATGTGAAGAGTCTTTTGACCTCCATGGTTGCATGAGTTGACAAGTCTCTGTCTCCACCATCTCATTCAGTGACTGCCCCAAGATGTAGAACCATTATTTTGTCACACCCTCAGTCTCTGGAATTTCCATCCTCTGATAGAGGTCTGTCCAATCAACCCTGAGCAGGTTCCATGGGGGTCTACAGACCTCTTTCGACTAAATATAAACATTGTGATTGCAAACAGAAGGGTTCTCTGCCCAGTTCTCCTCCACCTAAACAAAAATGGCCACTTTGATACAGGGAACTATCAAGGTTTTCATTCTAATTTTGATGACATTAAGGCTTTGATCGATTCTTATAATCCCATATGTCTCTCCTTACAGGAAATATTTCTGAGACCTGCTGATACTGTCACCTTTCGGCAGTTTTTAAGCCCAGAATGACGCTTTGTGTGATGCATGAGTTCATGAAGGTGTGGCATTGCTGGTTGACCATGTCCATGCCACTCAATACGCCATTGGAGGCTGTGGTCGTCCGTATCTCTGTGAGTTGTATCATCACTGTTTGTTCTCTTTACCTGTCTCTAGGAGAGACTTATGGTCAATCAGACCTTAATGTTTTCATAGAACAGATGCTGTTTCTCTTCATCTTGGGGGGCTTTAATGGACATAATCTTCTCTTGGGTGGTGCTGATATTGACAGGAGGGGTCGTTCTGTAGAGTGTATGCTCTTGGATCACAACCTTTCTCTTTTCAGTACTGGTTCCATTACCTATTTTCATGCACCTAGTCAGTTTTAACTGCTATTGATCTATCTATCTGTTCCCCTTCACTTTTTTCTCTCTTTTTCTTGGAGAGTTGACAATGAGTGACCCATGGGGCAGTGATCATTTTCTCATCATTTTGAGGGAGATTGGCCGCAGTTGATGCCATCAACTCTCAGGCCACTTTACTTTTGGGCTAATCGTCTCAACGATTTTGATTGCCCAGTTATTACACTGGTGGAACTTCAACTCGTACTTCATTGGTCTGGCTGTACACAAGTCATACCTGATGATATTCATTATGAGATGCTGCACCACCTCTCTCCCGCCTCTCTTGCTCTTCTTCTGGTTGTTTTTAACTGGATTTGGCAGGAGAATGTTTTTTTCAGATGCGTGGTGCAGGGCTATTGTTCTTCCTTTCTCAAAGCCTGGGAAGGAACCCAAGATTCTGTCTAATTATCGTACAATTGCTTTGACTAGCTGTCTCTGTAAGGTTTTGTTGAGAATGGTTAATGCTCATCTTGTTTATTTCCTTGAATCAACCAACCTCCTCTTGCTTTCATTGACAGTGCTCCACTTGGATCACCTGATTTGTCTTGAAACCTCAATCAGGGAAGCCTTCTGTCTTCTTTAATATTGAGAAGACTTATGACACTACATGGAGGTTTGGCATTTTGCAGGATCTCCATTCATATGAATTGCATGGCCATTTACCCATTTTATTTGTAACTTTTTACTTGAAAAGTGATTACAAATCTGTGTAGGTTCAACTCTGTCCCGATCCTTCACACAGGAAAACATGGAATCCCTCAGGGCTGTGTCTTGAGTGTCACCCCATTTCAGTATCAAGATCAATACTATCACTAAACTTCCTCCTACTGTTGCAAACAGCCTCTGTGTCAATGACTTTTAAATTTCTTGTAGGTCGTCACACACAAGGTTTATTGAGTGGCAGCTTCAGACTCCTCTCACTCGCTTTTTTTGGAGTGGACCACATCAAACTATTTCACTTTCTCTTCTTCAAAGACCATTTGTGTCCATTTTTGCTACCATCACGGCTTACACCCTGATCCCGAGCTCCGTCTTGGTGTTGTTGTTTTACCTATGGTTCCTGAGACGAAGTTCTTCAGACTTATCTTTGACTCTAAGCTTACTTTCATTTCTCACATTAAGCAGTTTCATGTAGAGTGTACAAGGGCACTGAACATCCTCCATGTTCTCTCTTCCACCTCTTGGATGGATTTTCTATGCTCAAGATCTATTGTGCCATCATATGATCCAAGCTAGACTATGGGTCTTTGGTTCTGCCAGGCCCTCTGCCTTGAAGATGTTGGACCCTGTGCACCACCTGGGGCTTCAGCTCTGTATGGGGACTTTCCACACTTCACCAAACCAGAGTCTCTATACTGTGTCTTATGAATCTCCTCTTCACATCTGATGTTTGCAACTTTCTTTACAGATTGCTTCCAAGCTTTTTTCCTTACCACAGCATCCCACCTGGGGTTGTGTCTTCCTTCCTTCCTCAGTGAGCTGTGCTCTTTTGGAATACATGGTCTGCCATTTTTCATTTTGGCCTTTGTATCAAGGCACAACTGGCTGAATTGGGTCTGTTATTAAATGACATTGCTGAATCCGATGATCAGCCCATTCTGCCATGGCTTGTTACCATCCCCACCTGTGACCTTTCTTTGAGTCATCTGAGGAAAGCAGATACTCCCAATTGGAAGTACCATTTGTGCCAAACATCTTTCAAACCATTCTTCTGTTCCCGTTTTTACAGATGGTTCAAAATCAGATGACTCTCTGGGCTCTGCCCTGGATTTTTATGACTCAGTGGTTGCTCACAGGATCCCCTCTACAGTTCTGTGTTCTTCTCAGTTGTA